TCGGCTACATTGCAGAACAGACCGTCTACTTTTACAGGACAGACCGTCTACAGCACAGGACTGACCGTCTACTCCTGAGGAAAGTACGTATACTTCACAAGACAGAGTCTACTCTCACATGAATGAGGTTTATTTTAACGGATCACGCATTACCATACGTAGATGTGGTTTACAGTGATGTGTAACATGGAAAGTTGAACTGAGATTAAGAAACTATCATGTCATACTTGACCAAACCCACATGTCATTACAGGACAGACCCTCTACATCACAGGACAGATCGCATACTTCACAGGACAGACCGTCTACTTCTACTTCTCAGGACAGACCGGCTACTTCACAGGACAGACCTTCTACTTCTCAGGACAGATCTTCTACTTCACAGGACAGATCGTCTATTTCACAGGACAGACGGTCTACTTCTCAGGACAGATCTTCTACTTCTCAGGACAGACGGTCTACTTCAAAGACCAGACCGTCTACATCACAGGACAGAACGTATACTTCACAGGACAGACCGTCTTCTTCACAGGACAGACGGTCTACTTCACAGGGCAGACCGTCTACTTCTCAGGACAGACCGTCTACATCACGGGACAGATCGTCTACTTCACAGGACATACGGTCTACTTCACAGGACAGATCGTCTACATCGCAGGACAGACCGTCTACTTCACAGGACAGATCGTCTACATTGCAGGACAGACCGTCTACTTCACAGGACAGATCGTCTACATCACAGGACAGATCGTCTACTTCACAGGACAGACGTCTACTTCACAGGACAGATCGTCTATTTCACAGGACAGACGGTCTACACCACAGGACTGACCGTCTACTCCTGAGGAAAGTACGTATACTTCACAAGACAGAGTCTACTCTCGAATGAATGAGGTTTATTTTAACGGATCACGCATTACCATACGTAGATGTGGTTTACAGTGATGTGTAACATGTAAAGTTGAACTGAGATTAAGAAACTATCCTGTCATACTTGACCACACCCACATGTCATTATTTTGACACACATGGCTCCTCCCATGTCATCATCTTCTTAGACATAATCACCTCACATGCCATCATCTTGTTGACCAAAACCACCTCACATACCATCATCTTGTTGACCAAAACCACCTCATATACCATCATCTTGTTGACCAAAACCACCTCACATACCATCATCTTGTTGACCAAAACCACCTCACATACCATCATCTTGTTGACCAAAACCACCTCACATACCATCATCTTGTTGACCAAAACCACCACACATGCCATCATCTTGTTGACCAAAACCACCACACATGCCATCATCTTGTTGACCAAAACCACCACACATGCAATCATCTTGTTGACCAAAACCACCACACATGCCATCATCTTGTTGACCAAAACCACCTCACATACCATCATCTTGTTGACCAAAACCACCTCACATACCATCATCTTGTTGACCAAAACCACCTCACATACCATCATCTTGTTGACCAAAACCACCACACATGCCATCATCTTGTTGACCAAAACCACCACACATACCATCATCTTGTTGACCAAAACCACCACACATGCCATCATCTTGTTGACCAAAACCACCACACATGCCATCATCTTGTTGACCAAAACCACCTCACATACCATCATCTTGTTGACCAAAACCACCTCACATACCATCATCTTGTTGACCAAAACCACCTCACATACCATCATCTTGTTGACCAAAACCACCTCACATACCATCATCTTGTTGACCAAAACCACCTCACATACCATCATCTTGTTGACCAAAACCACCTCACATACCATCATCTTGTTGACCAAAACCACCTCACATACCATCATCTTGTTGACCAAAACCACCTCACATACCATCATTTTGTTGAACACAACCACCTCACATACCATCATCTTGTAGAGGGGCGGTCGGGTAGCCTAGTGGTTAAAGCGTTCGCTCGTCACGCCGAAGACCCGGGTTCGATTCCCGACATGGGTACAATGTGTGAAGCCCATTTCTGGTGTCCCCCGCCGTGATATTGCTGGAATATTGCTAAAAGCGTCGTAAAACCATACTCACTCACTCACTCACTCATCTTGTAGAACACAACCACCTGACATACCATCATATTGTTGAACGCAACCACCGCACATACCATCATCTTGTAGAACACAACCACCTCACATGCTATCATTTTGTTGAACACAACCACCTCACCTACAATCATTTTGTTGAACACAACCACCTGACATACCATCATCTTGTTGAACACAACCACCTGACATACCATCATCTTGTTGAACACAACCACCTGACATACCATCATCTTGTTGAACACAACCACCTGACATACATTCATCTTGAAGAACACAACCACCATCATCTTTATGAACACAACCACTTCACATACTATCATCTTGATGAACACAAGCACCTCACATACCTCAATATTGTAGAACACAACCACCTGACATACCATCATCTTGTTGAACACAACCACCTGAC